ACTCTGCCAGGCCAGCTGCACATCACATTGAACATGCTCTGATGGATCTCCTGCTGAGCGGTCCAGCACTGCACCCTGCAATGCCAAGAAGCCAAAAAAAAACATAAGCCTGCATCATCAGGTGGTGAGCAGAGCAGAAAAATTCTTCCCCGAGATCGGACGAAAAAGATGATTAAATATTTGTCCGAGCGCCATGGTGCTAAAAGTTGAATGCAGGTCCCAAAGGTTCAAAGAGGGCTGATGATGGGATGGTAGCAGATATAGCAGCTACAGTATCTCATTTGAATGTGTTGAATGAGATTTCCCATGAGTGCCAGGGTTAATCAATGAGTCAGCTGTGAAGAACGCAGCTCCAGATTACTGTGAACCCACTTTAGCAACCAATCTATTTGATTCAGGACTGAAGAGGGCAGCTTTCTCCAAGCTGCTTGTTGCCGAGCCTGTTGACACAGGGTCATTAGGTGAGGAGAGGAAATCCAGCACATGCCTCAGCAGCCTCCTTGAACTCCATAGGAATAGATTCTATCCTCACAGACAGGATGCAGGCTGCTTCAAGAGCAGGTTGCTAGGAAACAGCTTGCGTCCAAGTTTACGTTGTCGGCTATTGATATTGGCAAAGAAATTAAATTAAGCCTGTTTTAAATGTTTATGATATTATGACCCCCCTGAGGGCTGATCCACACATGTTAAAATTCAGCAAGACATTAAATGTAACAGCATTTTAATTTACCCCACAAAGACAAGTAGATTGTGTAGTTCATTATTTGATTTAAAAACTGTCTTCTTAATTGATTTTACACTCAATGCAGACTATTGAATATAAATACATTCTATAGTCAAACCTCAAAAGCCTTATTTTAAGGGCGTTATTACTTTAAATTGAAGAATTTTTAATTCATTTGGTTAACAGCACTCATCCGGAGCAATTTGGGGTTCAGTATCTTGCTCAAGGATACTTCGACATGTGGCTGGAGGAGCAGAGGATCGAACCAACAACCTTCCGATCAGGGGACAACCCACTCTGCCTCTGCACCACAGCCGCTATATAATGCTGGATGACATGACAACTCTCTAAAAGTGAAGCCAAACCATCTGGAATCGCCCCATGGTGGCCAACTGCAGTTTAGGTCATAAAGCCCAGATGGGACATGGGCCAGACTAAAACATCAAAGGCTTCTGTCATTTTGGGTAGTTCTTTTCACGCTGATGGTAGTAATGACAAAAAGTTGTTTTTGTCAGTTACCTACTGACTGCAGCTTTAAGTTGTATGAAATTCTTGCCCTATTGAAATCTTTCTGTGTTTCATTTACCTACTGGAAGGAGGGAAAATTTCACAAACAAACACCAAGGAGATGTGTATGTGTGTATATATATATATATCTATATATATATGTAAAAAAAATATTTAACCTTGCGGTTTGTGTGTGTGTGTGTGTGTGTGTTGGGCACAGCTGCTCAGCTGGTATCCTGATTTAAGTTGTTAAGGGCAGAAATAGTGGATCAGAATGGCAGTGGCGGAGCCAGGGGGTAGCCAATGGTGGCCACTGTTTGGAGACCCCTCTTGCCACCTCACACATATTTTGGGTTTCTCATTTATTCTCGTAAGGAAACATTTCTTTATGGTTCCATAGCTGCAACTCCACTGGGGAGGCTTTTTAGCTGGGCACCCACCTGGTTTTACTGCCCCAGTCTTAGGGAAGATAACTTTACCCTTTACTTTGCAACTTTAATTTTGCCCGTGTGGAATAAAAGAAGTAACTCCTGTCAGTAAAAATGACCAGAAAGACCTTTTATTGACTTTGCTTTTAACTGTTTTATGAATGCATCAGTATTAGTGAAAGATAGGTTGAACAACTATTGGCTTGTCTTACGGCTGGGATATCTGCAGTCAGCAGTGTTGGTCAAGTTACTTGGAAATAGTAATTAGTTACTGATTACTGATTACTTCTCCAAGAAAGTAATCCAGTTACTTTACTGATTACTTATTTTCAAAAGTAATTAGTTACTTTACTAAGTTACTTTTCAAAAACATGATGCACAACCTGAATACGCTATAAAGCAATAGACCTTTCAGCCTAATTCTATTCTTTCTGCATATTCCATCATCTAAAATTGAATCAAATGAAACAGTCTCTTTTTTAAAACTTGTTTTATTAGTTTCAATCTTTTAACTTTATGCACATTGCATCAAGCAAAAATTAAATTAAATGCAACAGTCTCTGACTTGAAGAAAATAGTTAGGTGCTTGCTCAGATTTGAGGTGGAATTTTTCGCTGTAAATAAAAGTTTTCTTCCCACGCAGAGTGTACAGCGGACGCTGATGTTTTTGTCACCTTTTACCGAGTCAAACTCAAAGTAATGTCGGTACTTCCAAGCATTAAATGCTGCATGGTCCTGCTCTCTCCCACGCTCCACGTTGTCTCTTGTTGATTACTACACGTGTCAGTGTTTACCACTGACCTCGCGGCGCTCATATGTCATTGTCACTCACGAGACAGTCTCACAAAACAAAATCACGGTTAAGTAACGGAGCCTGCTTGCGGGAAAGTAACAGTAATCTAATTACTGTTTTTGCAATTGTAATCCCTTACTTTACTCGTTACTTGAAAAAAGTAATCGGATTACAGTAATGCGTTACTTCTAACTTCTTACTGCCAGTTGCTGGCTCTGCTCTGTGTATGGTTATATGTAGCATGCACACTTAAATGTACAAGGAACAGTGTATTTTACAATGATTATAGTGAGCTTCTCCCATTCTGTGTTCAGTTTCTCTCTACATTCATCTACTACATTTAACAAAACAGTACATACAGTACATAACATACTTTACATTACATATCAGAACATCACAGTTTATGCCATACCCGAGCAAAATCCCTATGTATAGAAGAATTTGAATATATATGACTTTGGTGTTAGTATAAAAAAACACAGAAATGCATGCAACTTAAAGGTCCAGTATGTAACATTTAGGAGGCTCTATTGGCAGACATGAAATATAATATCACCTGAAAATAAGAACCATTGTGTTTTTGTTACCTTAGAATGAGCTGTTTTTATCTGCAGAGGGAGCGTGACCTCTTCTACATTGTTCAACTGCCAGGTTTCTGCAGTAGCCCAGAATGGACACACCAAACACTGGCTCTAGACAAGGCCTTGTGCATTTTTCACGAGTTTCGCGGCCACTGTAGTTTCTCCTACACATTTGGAAAGGAAGCGTGAGGCGAGGGGTTTGTAATCTCCAACTACACCACTAGATACCACTAAATCCTACACACAGGACCTTTAAAAGACTTTGAATTATCAGACTGTTCACCTCGACCCACACCTCCGTCATCCGCATTGTTAAATTAGGAGGAGGATAAAGGTTAAATCATAGACATACACTCCTGAACATAATCTTAAGACCGGGGGAAAAAGTATTCACATTTTGCGTTGGTGGAACGTAACCAGGTTGTAAGTAGAGCTTCAAAATGCAAAAAGAAGAAACAGGAGCAAGAAACAAAAAAATAGAGTAGGCAATTTATTGAAAACTGCATTTAAAC